TAAAGAAATTTTTTGTGTAACTTTGTTTATTGTTTTTTTTTGGAAAACAAAATACAAATCAACAAATAAGTTTTGAACAATTGAAAATAAAATCATAGATCTTCCAAAATGAAGATCCTACTTTTAAAAAAGTAAGTAATTAAAATGAGTGTTTGATATTTATGACACCCAAGAAATAGGTGTGTCTGGATATAAACCAATGGGAATCCATTAAAATAGGTGTGTTTGTATATAAGCCAATGGGAATCCATTAAAATAGGTGTGTCTGGATATAAGCCAATGGGAATTCATTTTTATATTAGCATAATCTCAAGAACTTTTTTTTTCCTTTTTGTATAACAAAAGAAAGAGGATATCTTCATGAAAAGATCTTTTAGTTTAAAATGCCTGAAAAATCAGGTAATTAATTTTCTCATAAACCTTTCTACAAAAAAGAGAAAGACGCTAGACTAAAAAAAAACAATACTTCTGTCAAAAAGACATTAGAAAACTACATTGAATATCAATTTAATTTTCAAGTTTGGTTTTCCTTGGAGGAAAAAATAATATTTTCTCATTGGTCACAAATTTGATAAAGGGTTAGCATTGAATAAAAAATATACCCAACAAGATAGCAATCTGTATAAAGATTAATGATTGCATGGTATAAAACAGTGTGAAAATATGAAAACTTATTAAAAATACAATATTGAATTATTACAAAATAGTTTCCTTAGAATTTGCGTAAAGTGTTGTTATGCTGCTAACATATTCATTGCCAAAAGACACATTCACATTTTAAATACTTTCACTCTTAAACATTAAATGATTCTAACTGCAATATATATAAGAATTTGAACATCTTTTTAATACTATTTGAAACCCTCAATATTAAATATTTGCTTTAATAGATTTAAGACTTTGAAAGTCTTTTTCTAATACTGTTTGAAACCATCAACATTAAATTGTTTGCTTTAATAGCTCTAAAACTTTGAATGTCTTTTTTTAATACTATTTGAAACCATTAATATTAAATGTTTGCTTTAATAGCCTTAAAACCATTAATATTAAATGTTTGCTTTAATAGCTCTAAGACTTTTAAAGTATTTTAAAATACTATTTGAAATCAACAATATTAAATATTTGCTTTAATAGCTTTAAGACTTTAAAAGTTTTTTTTTAATACTATTTGAAGCCATCAATTTCAAGAATAACTTTCTCTGTTAAAAACAGTTGATATCTAGAGAAGTAAAAAAACCTTTTCCCAGATTTGATAGTTTCACTGACTGACATTTCATCAGATGAGCGACAAATAAGAATTATTATAATTTATTTTTACAATATTTCCTTAGAAAATTTAAAAAATTTATATTTGTTTGGAAAAGAGCAAAATTGATTTAAAAAACTATTTTAAAACTTGAGCTCCTTGATAAAATTCAAAGAAGAATCAGCAATGTTATTGGTCCTGATCTGGCATCTTACCATCAGTCACTTTCCCACTGCCATAAGGTTGCCTCTCTATGTCTTTTCCATAAATATTTTCATGGTAATTGTTCAGTTGAGCTCTTTGCTATGGTACACAGAGTTTTTGAATTTAAGTGCAGTACTAGACTGGCTTGGAGATTTGAAAGTCTTTTTTTAATACTATTTGAAACCATCAATTTCAAGAATAACTTTCTCTGTTAAAAACAGTTGATATCTAGAGAAGTAAAAAACCTTTTTCAAGATTTCACTGACATTTGGATGGGGTGATACCAATTTAAAAAAAAAAAAATAATTTATTTTTTAAATCAATTTTGCTCTTTAAAATAAGTCAAATGTTACCTTGAAAAAAAAGATGTTTTTGCATCTCTAGTGGATTCATCATAGAATTTAAAATACCATGGTTGATGCCTTATAAGACACTCTCCCTTTCACAGTTAATATTACAGTTTTTGCATAATACCTATCAAAAATGACAAAATTATTTATATATGGATTGACACTTCTGTCTCGTTTCCCAATATCTGCTTAAATGTAAAAATTCTAATACAAGAACCATTCAGAACTAAAAAATATGAAATGATTTAGGTTTACATTATTAAGTTTTAATAATATTATAAACCATATTTTTTTTTCAACAGTACAATTGCATTTGGCAATATATAAGATATATATATATATATATATATATATATATATATATATATACAGGGTGTCCATAAAGTTCGTGTGCACTTTAAAAAATTTATAACTTTATTTGTATTTGCGGTAGAAATAATCTGTAAAAATGTTATAAAGTTTAATGTACCTAGTTTTAAGTATAGCTAAAATAACTAATGTGATTTCAGGCATCTAGACAAAAAAGTAAATCATTTGGCAAATGTTTTCCCTGAACTTCAAAATCGTGTTACCCTTTGTATTGCTAATGATGGAGGACATGTGGAAACTTAAATAAAATTTCAATAAAACCTTAAAAACATATGGATTTACTTCTTTCTAATCCTTTTTACAAATTATTTATATCGCAAATACAAATAAAGTTATAATTTTTAAAGTGCACACGAACTTTATGGACACCCTGTATATATATATATATATATATATATATATATATTATATATATATATATATATATATTTTATTAAATTATGAAATCAAATATATATTTTTTAATGTTTACCCAAGAATATCTATACTTATTCCTAAAAAAAAAATTTTAAATATTTTTTCTATATATTTGTGGAATATTCTTCAAATTCTGAACCAGAAAAAGAAAATACATTAATACTCGCTGGATCTTTGGTCAGATATCATCGTCACTCTTGCAGACATATCACAGCAATTACAAACTGAATAGAACTGTCATATGTGCATGTTCAGAAGAAATTTATATAAAACAATGATAAACCAACTTAATAAAATAAAAAAAGTTGGTTTAGAAAGAAAGAAAGAAAGAATATTAAGAAATAAAAAATAATTTTGAAAAATTTAAAAAAGAATGAATAACATTAAAAAAGAAAAAAGAAAAATCAAAGAAAGAAAATTTGAAAAAAAGAGATTAAGAAATTTTGGAGAATAAATGAAAAAACTAAAAGAAAGATGAAATATTAAGAAATAAAAAATGGTAAAATTCTAAAAGAATGATAAAAGAAAGAAAGAATACTGTTGTTATTATTAATACAATTTATGTTTCTACAGACATTTTGATCTCCTTTGTAAAGTGTAAGAAAATCATAAATTACAAACAAGCAGAATAATCCTACTTCTTGACATTTTAAATGAAACTTTAATTTATAAATAATTGCTTTCTATTTAATTTATGACTTTGGCATCCATTTTAGCACACAATTGTTGCCATGATAGCACACCTGAATAATAATAATAATAATAATAATAATATTAAATAAATAAATAAAACTGCTTGTGGCCTAGAAATATTGGGTTAGCATCTAACAGTTGCTTCTCATGGCACGATAGGCTCTATAGTCCTGTTGGACAGTCATCCTAGAGGCTGTATCCTGAACAAAATTACCCCTTGGTGGTTAAGGATAAAACAAACAAAAAAATTCCAATGTTTACAAATTAAAACTCATACCAGGTGTGTGTGTGGGGGGGAGAGGTAATTAGTCATCGCCTGAGTCAACATGGGCCACATATCCCTCAGAGTGGAACCAGTTTAGAGTTTAAATAAATTTTTCACCGGAACAAACTCTTCAACCAGCAATGAGACACCTGTTCACTCATATTAACCTCCAACCTTGGCTCTGATGACTCCATGCGAAATCAATTAACCAAAAGAAAGCAGAGTAAATGGAACATAACAGGTCAGATATACCAAATATGGAGAGATATGGTCAAAACTGAAATGAGGCCCCCATCCTGACCCAAATATGCTTGTCAGTGTCCACAGGGACATCATGCAAAATAAAATGTAGAAATAGATCAAATAAAATAAAAATATAAGAAGACAAAAAGGCATAAACCCAAACAAAATGGAAGGAAGATAATATGGCAGGTATAAGCTAAAATAAATAAGATATGAAATAATGATCTTTCAGGAAATAAAACTGAAAAATTTAGCTGCAACAAAAATAATTTCAGTAATTCAGCTTCTGACAGTAATGAAGATGAATCAAATGACATTAGAGCAGAATTCATTGAGTTGAAATCATTGAAGTGAAAAACTGCATCATTCAAATTATCAGCAAAGTAACTTGCACACAAATGTCAGAAAGAGACCAGCTTCCAAAAATCCACACATGAAGTTCAATAAACGTACTGGATATAACACTGTGTTGCAAATATTGTTAATAGACAGATCATTGGAAAACATCACAGAAGAAAATAATGTAATATATGCAACAGCTCTTTAACAAAACCATAAAAATTGATGTTAATAAAAGAAAATACCAAATTTTAGAAGTAAAAAGAACCTGAATTTAAAATAAAAATAAGAGTGAGAATTCTGAGAAATTGATTGAAAAATATCGACACTGGATAAGATCCCAAGAAATTCAAACAAATGTCATTTATAATTTCAGGAGGATAGAAACAGGAAATATAAATGGAAAGAAAAAAAAAATGAAATTTCACCAATCAAGGAAATAACAAACAGAATAAAAAATTAAATCAAACAGAGAACAAGACGAGATGAAAAATTCATTCCAGGTTCTATATTTTTAAAATAATTTTTTTTTAAACATATCTTTAATTTTTATTTTTAGGGAAGGAAATCGGAAAAGCTTTATAGAAGAAAAAAGCCACCATAACTATTGAAGAAGTGTAAAAATATTGGGAGAATATTTACAGAATTAAAAAAAGAAATAAAATTCAATGCAGATGGATCAAATGAGAACAAAACTGAAAGAATAAAAGATAAACCACCCCAAAGAATGGAAAAAATATAACCACAAATAATGTTAGCAAATAAAAAAATCCCAAAATGGAAATTAAAAGGAAAAAAATGTTTAATACTTAATTTTTATTTAATGGATTGATTTTCAATACATAAAACTTTGCACAGACTTTAATCAGGACCATTAATAAAAAAAAAAAACATTTGATGTTTCAAAACAAACAGTTTTAAAGTGTTTTGGACTGAGAAAGATACCAAAATTTTGGTTTGATAGATAGATAAATAGATAGATAGATAGATAGATAGATAGATAGATATGAATAGAAAAATGTTCATATAGATAGATAAATAGATAGATTTTTCTTTTGAATTGAGATAGATAGGTATTGAATAGACAGAGATAAATAAATCTTAAAGATGTGAGATTTAGATAGATGAATGAATATTATCTGAGATAGATATATAGATAAGAATAGGCAGATAGATAGAAATAAATAGACTGAGATATATAGATAGATATGTTTTTTGAGATAATAGATATATGAATATTTTGAGATAGATAGATAGAAAGATTGAACAGATTTTTTATTATAGATAGAAATGAATAGTTGAGATCAGATATATAGATAAAATAGGCAGAGCTGAAGTTAAGATAATATAAAATGGACTGAGATAGATAAAACATAAAAGATAGATATTTTTAATAATAATAAATTTAGTCATGAAAATTAATTTTTAAAAATATTTCCATATGAATTTTTCAGATAAATATATATATATATATATATATATATATTCTTTTTTTCAATTCATTTTAACAAAAAAATTAAAAATCATTTGTATGTGAACAAAAATATATTGATATTCTTTTCATTAAAAATATATATTATATATATTATTACAACTATAATTATATGATAATAATAATAATAATAATAATATATAATAATAATTTTTAATTAATAATTTTTTTTTTGAAGACCATCTAATGATTTTCATTTAGGAATTTTCAGGCAAATATCATACATAATAATGTGGATCCAAAATGCAGGTTCTGTGACAAATACCATTCAAACAATAGACCATCTAATATCAGGATGTTCTATACTTAAAAAAAAAAATGAAAATAAAAATTCATAGAACAAATTTTTACACTGGACATTTGTGCAAACACTTTGGAAAATGCCAAAAGCAAAAATGGTATGAACATCGGCCAGCGCCGGTTAAAGAAATAGAAGATGTCACCATTCTATGGGATTATACCATCCACACAGACAGAAAAAATTGAAGCAAATAGGCCGGACATTCATTGTAAAAACCAGAAAGAAAAACTTTACTAATTGATACATTTGTCCAGCGGAGACTTTTAACATAGCAACCAAGGAATTTGAAAAACTATCAAAATACAAAGACCTGGAAATTGAAATATTAAAAAATGTGGAAATTGAAAAACAAGAATAATACCATTGGTAATAGGTGCACTAAAATTATAAAAATGGAACAAAAACAACACATTGAAAGAATCCCTGAAACCCCTTTTAAAGAGACATACAGAAAATTGTCTTATTAAGTACAGCACACACACCAAGGAGAACTTTGTCTATGTAACGCTAGCAACTTCATGGAGATAAAAAAAAAAAAAAAAAAAAATTAACATGAAATGTGGCCATAACAACACACCACGACCTGCCTTAGGTCTTTTCCGCAGATTTGGTAGGTAGTGTGTCCATAGCAGAAATAATAATAATAATAATAATAATAATAATATAAAATAAAGTTATTGTTATTGTATGATAGTAAAAGATTAAAATTTTTGTAATTTCATTAAAAAAAATTTTTTTTGCTATCTGTTTTACTGTATTTAAAATAGATGGTATTAATTTCATTTTTGCTGGTAGGATTTCAGGTATATTAAGACTGTTTTTTGAAAATGCATCTTTGTTGATAAATGAATTTGCTAAAATTTTACTATTTTAGGAAATTATCATAAATTTTGTGATTCCAATTAAATATTATTATTATTGTTGTTATTATTATTGTTATTATTAAAATTGTTGTTAATTTTTATTAGAATCATTGTTGTTATGATTATTATTATTATTTTATTACTTTCATTGTTGTTGTAGTTATTAAAAATATTATTATCATTCTTCTTGTTATTATTATTGTTATTATTATTATGATTGTTATTATTATTGTTGTTATTATCATTTGTTATAGTAGTTATTATTGTTATTATTATTGTTGTTGTAGTTATTGTTATTATTATTCAATAAATGTAACACACTTTTCTGAGATGTTATAAAATAGGAATTAAATTTTATTTAAATTTATCTTGTTCAATATTTTTTGAGCTGATTTAAGAATTTAGTAAGTTTTTTATGCTTTTTTAAATTATCGATCACTAATTTCTTGTATAATGAAGGAAGAAATGTTTAAAAAGTGAGAAAAAAAACATGAATTTTCTTGCCATCTTCGTTTTTAAAATATTCATTTCTCTTGATTATAAAATACTAAAATAAAAGATGTGGTGAATGGCTCTTTCTAAATTCATGTGCGTAATGGGAGGCAAGGGAAAGACATTTTTATGAGATAAAAAGAAAGATAAATTCAAATAAAACACGTCAGTCAGGTCGAGAAGCTAGACATGAGCGGGTTCGTTATTCATAGTTACCTCCCTTTCATAGCTCATTGGTAGGAAAAAGGCAGCAAAGGAGCACATGACATACATGGAACCTGAAAAGAAAACAGATGGAGGTGAGGGAAATAACATCTCTATATGCGTACGTGCGCTCACGCACGCACTCACACACACGCAAATAATTTGATATCTAGAGGGATGTGTGTGAATTGAGACAGAATCAATAAAAGCAATCCTGAGAAGGCTGTGTGTTGGGTGATTTTATTTTTCCAGTGTTTATTTACATAATTTTCTTATATTACTTTTTCAATATATATATATATATATATATATATATATATATATATATGTATATATATATATATATATATATATATATATAGAGAGAGAGAGAGAGAGAGAGATAGAGATGAGAGAGAGGAAGCATCTGGTTAGCAAAGTCAGTTACTGTTTTTAAACTACAAATTTCCCATATATATATATATATTTATATATATATATATATATATATATATAAAAAATCACATATAAACAGAAAATATATTAAAATAATGATCAGACTTATAATAATATATGATGTCATTTGTTTATGTTAAGAACAATTCCAACAGAAATCGTAGGAAAATTTATATCTGTCTACATTTCTGAGATATTATATACACTATTTACATTATTCAGACTATTGTCCTCATTTTGTCACGCTTTAAAATTACAAACAAAATGCATGTACCTCCGGCCTCCTTCAGGTGGTTGGAATGTCAACTGAACCCTTTATTTTGACTGTTCCATTAAAAACATGACATGTGGAACTAGAACAGGCTACCCCAGTGAGTGAAATAAAGGGTTCAGTTCAACATTCCAACCACCTGAAGAAGGCCAGAGCGTACAACAGCCGAAACATTGTAATAAATATGGTAACAAAGATGAGGATAATAGTCCAAATAATGTAAATAGTGTAGGAAAATTTGTAGTTTAAAATATATATATATATATATATATATATATATATATAATCAGATTTACCTCAATTAATGCAGTACAGACACTAAGACACAAGGGGTTACTGGGTGTGAAAGAAGGAAGAACCAGTACAAACAATAGAAGAGTAATCTGGAAGACAGTAAATAATGATTGTCATTGCATTTAAATATTTAGTTAACTGGAAAGCATGGAGCCAGAAGAGAGTTCCACAAATGAGAAGTGCAAGAAAAGAAACTGTTAGCATAGAATTTATGGTTACATCTAGCCAATTCATCTGAAAATTGATGAGACATTGTTACTAATCTAGTACTGCGCTTAAATTTAAGTCTAGGGACCATAGTAAAGAGTTCATCCAAACAATTACCATGAAAGTATTTATAAAAAAGGTGCAACTTTATGTCAATGGGTAAGTGACTGAGGCTGAGATACCAGGTCAGGACCAATAATATTGCTGATACTTCTTTGGATTTTATCAAGTATCTCCAAATATATAGCAGGAGTACCGGACCATATGTCGCAGCAATATTCTAAGCATGGATAAATGGTAGATATGTTGGATACACTCTGGAGAGAAAAATTGTCTAGCACAACACAATGAACCAGATTTCTTAGCCGCCGACCTCACAATATATATCATATATTTCCACGTAAAAAATGACTTTAAATCCCAAAAATCACTCTTAAAAATTGGGGGTTCATCTTATACAACAATTCTAAAAAGAAATAATAATAGATGTGATAACCAATAATGTACATGAAAAGATTCGCATTTTCAAATAAACTGATAATAAAAATAATAAAACCATTTCTACCTTATATATTACTGGCATAACTTTGTAATAAATTACTTATTTGAAGAATAATTCCATATCAATGAAATCAACCTGTATCCATGCACACTCAGCTGAGAAAATGTAAACATCGAGTTATGAATGCCTTCCCAGTAACTTTTATCTTTCACTAAACTTTAAATAATCAACTGGCTTAGAAAGAAGTTAGGAACAGACTGAATAAAAAAAAATGTTGAAAGTGGAATATACTATTATTAATACTTATTGTAGATTATCATACTGTTATTAGTGGTATTTGGTGATTGTCGATGAAGTATAAGTAAATGGCCATTAGTACACTAGGCTATTTGTAACTGTTTAGATTTAGGAAAAGAAGACATAGAAGAAGTATCAGTATTCGCAAGAGATCACATGATGAAATGTAAACAAAACAACGGTTTCCCTTTTAGGGGACGTGTATTGGAAAAACATGATATAGAATCGGTTTTGTTATTTAATTTATTTTGAATTTCTAAGTAAAAACAATTCCAATAACATCATCTTTATATAAGCAATAAGCAGTCATCTTATACTACAGTTATAGGATAAATTTATGAAAATTTGCTAATATTTTTGACTTCATCTAATCAAAAGGTTGCCTTATACGTGAAAATATGTGTTATATATATACCGGGTGTAACAGCAAAATTGTCCAAATCATGTAATGACATAATTATCCATCCCACAAAATGTTTAATATCTAAAAAAACACTAAACCAATTGAGTTCCTTTTTTCATGTTTTTAGATAAAACATTTAGCCATCTTGAGACCATTTTTCATAAGAATCACTCAAAAACCCTTTGAGTTATTTAGTTAAAAAGAAAGCCTGTTAAAATTGTCTTTCCAACTGAGCAATGGCGAGAGGAAAAAGATCATTCAGGCCTTCAGTAATTGTACCAACATTCATATTCGGCCTTCCATCTTCAAAGTCCATTCAAGAACCGTCAAGAGAATGAATAATTTTAGAAAAAAAGGAACAGTAGAGAGGAAAGAAAGAAGGAGAAACAATACGAGCATAGAAATGAACACTGCATTGCTCCTTAAGCAGGCTGCATATATAGTGGGTTATGTATATAGGTAACTAGGGGATTAAGGGAGGTTGTGAAAGAGGAAATTGGCCTGTCCCAGTTTCTTTAGTTTGAAAAAAAAAAGAAAAATATACAAATAAAGTAATATAAATGAAGAAAATAATGAATAATGTAAAATAAACAAAAACATAATATATATGTCAGTAAACATTTTGGAAGTTATAACTATAGACAAACCTAGCCTATTTATATATATGCTTTCTCCAACCACCCAACCAGCATAAATAAGCAATCTAGAGGTCATGACCATCAATAACCTTCAGCATTAGCCGTAAACAACAGAATCTGGGAAGGGATAGCTTTGTTTTTCCTTCACTTCCTTTAATCTCCTAGTGACCTATATACACACTATATGTACATCCCACTAAAGGGGTAGTGCTACTTAATCTGAAAATTCTTTTTCCAATTCCAGCTGCTTTTCCTTGATAACAGCTTTTAATTAGTCAAAATGGGAACAATACTTGTCTGAATTCAATGTCATCTGACTGGTTCCTAACCAAAACTAGATGATCCAATCTGTCCTGCTATTTAACCCATAGCTGTGGTGAGAAAAGATGGATTCATACCTTTCCCAAAGTCATCTGCATGTAAGTGAATCTAACAAACCCAGCATGTCTGATACATCTAAATTAATCTAATGAATCCTTTGTGTCAGATACAGCATCCAGATTAGTTTTTCTGTCATTTATGACCTAATAGACTATTTCTATGCAGTAACCACATTCACATTTCTAATAGGAATGTCAGTATTACTATTTGAAAATTGCTCGATTATTTTAACATCCTTAAAATTGCCTATGACATCACAGACCAGTTAGACAGTTTAAGGAATTTTTTTTTTATTTTTACCACATATTCTTACATGTCTGAGGATCACATGACAGAATTTTCATTTTAATCTAACCAACTTCTCTCTAGAGTCAAAACATTTTTTATAATAACGTGTCATGCCAAAATCATGATTTGTTTTTTTTTGACACTTTATAAATTTGATGCTTAAGAAAAAATATGAAGCTGAAAGTTTGTGTTTTTATGAATTGTTATGCTGACAAACTATATTTGATTTCATTTTGCCTTTCTTAAATGGCCATTAAAAATGGATTTTCAGATGGTCTACAAAATTTTTAACTGGACAAAGAAACTAAAAAAAACATCAAATCAAAATAGTGAAAATCAGCACAATTAGTTCATGTTAAACAATTTTATCAATACTCAAAAATATACAAAAATCAGGATCATTAGTAAGGTAGATATCACATTAATAATATTTTTAAAGGAATTAATTTAAATATTTGAAAAAAGATAAACATCAAATTTTTCTGTGATAAGTGTAGTATTTCATACTTAAAATATTGTTAATTTATCGTATAGGAATAACAATTACTGCAGTTAATCATTTGAAATTCACAATATATACATGAAACATATAAAGATATGTTAAAATATCAACTTTCAGAATATGCATATATGTCATAAATTTCAATCATGTGCACTTACTGCCATATTTTTTTAAGCATTTCATCCCAAGCAATGTGGGCGTGCCACTAGCATGCAAGGGGATACAGAGAGTGAGAGCAAGTGTAAAGAGGAGGGGTGTTTGAGGGAAGGATATAGAGAAGGACAGGTATCAAGGCATCAGAAGATGTCAATTGACATTACATTTGAATATTTGAAGATTATAGCTATCAGGGAAGAAAGTAGGAAGAAGGGAGTTCCACTGTTGGGAAGTGTGAGAGAAGAAGCTGTTGGAGTAGAAGAGGCAGTTTCATTTAACTGTTTTGACAGTGAAAGGGTGGGACCGAGATGCCAACCTAGTTGCACGTTTAAATTCATGCAGCTGGGGTACCAGTGAAAGTAGCTTGTCAGAGCCAAAGACAGAGGGATCACATTGAAACATCAGTTCCTGTACAATCACCAAAGTTAAGCAATGTCAAGTACCTAGATGGGTGACCACTTCGGAATACCAGGTGCTGTAAGCTTGGATGTACAGGTGGTGTAATGGAGAATGGCTCGGAATTGTTAATCAGAAAGCCAAGTTCCAATTCCCATTGGGTTTGTTATATTCACTTGTACAAAAATACCCTCGGGAAAGGTATAAATCCATCTCTTCTCCATCCAGCTATGGGTCAATTAGTAGGACTTGTATCAGTAAACAATTATTAACCCCCCCACCCCTAAAATAGTTCTTACAATCT